TCACCCCTCAGCGTACCAGAATTATCGTCTCAGCGACCCTCGGAGTCCCTTCGCGTCGGACTTAGCGTCTACAATCAACCCTAGCTTTGCCAATAGGCCGAACTCGTCGAAACTAAATAACTCCGCCATCGCATATCGATCCAAGTAAGCTCCGGATTTAAAGTATAAAATTCACCAAGCGTCTGTAGGCACGAGACTATTGTTCGGGTTCAGTGGAACTCCCCACCCGGGTTACTGTCGAACTTCGGAGATAAATACTCCGGAGAATCGCTATACTGTTTGTTTCAGGCCTCAAGATTTTGTTTGTTTTAGGTTTTTCCTACGGGCTACCCTACGGCGTCTAACTTCTCCCCCTCCCTTCGAACTTAAATATTACCCTTCAATCGCCTTAGACCGCCTACACCCATACCGCTGGGTGTTTTAGGTTTTATTTCTTTTGGTCTTTGGTGTTGTCGTGTGTTAGTGCCTATCATTTTGGAGCCCACCGCGAGGGGGGTACCATCTCAAGACGTCCAGTCCTTTGGAAGAGTTATTTCGACTCTTCCAGGAAGCCAATAGTCGATTAGACGAAGGCGACCAATTATCCGCAGTCCTTGCCCTTAGGAACCTCCTTGGTGTACAAAATCCCGATTATATTCCAGTCACTCTGCCATCTCCTCGACGCCTCCGTAGCCACACTAGGCAATTAGCCTTAGACGAAGCCGCACCAGCCAATCCGGATCCTCCCTCCATTGAGGAACCAGACAGTCCGGACATCCCTCTTCGAGAAATCACCCAAAGCCATCGTCGGTCAACTCCGGATTCCGGAGCTCCCATAGTTCGACGTTCATCTAATCCATCACCAAACCAACTCGCGTCCGGCAGTTCCACCGCATCCAGTTTCCTAGAAATCCCTCCTAGCATTCTCAGTACTCCGGAAATAATTCATCCGGAACCCGCAATCTCTACCACTATGTCAGACACCCTCCCGTCCCGTTACGACAAGCATGCACCGCGTTTCGATCCGGAACAGCCGCGGACTTTACTCCGCTATTTCGAGGACATCACAGACCTCTTCGCGGCCCATCCGAACGCGGTGGCTAGCGAGGCAGCAAAAAAGGCAGTGGTGGTAAAATACGTCCCCATGTACGAGGAGGAGCTCTGGAAAGGCGTCCCCGAATTTGCAGACGACTCCAAGAGCTTCGAGGAATTTAAGGCGGCGATTTTGGCACTATACCCAGCCGTCAAAGAGGACCAACGGTACAGCGTTGGAGATATGGACCGGATAGTAGGCGAAAGGCAAAGAGTGGGGATTCATAATTTGGCGGACCTGGCAGCATTTTATCGCGACTTTTTGCTCGTCACTCGGTACCTTCGGAAGAACGACATTATCTCGGTTCGCGAGCAGGGACGAGCGTTCCAGCGGGGATTTCAACCGGACCTATGGGCGAAGATATTCGGGCGTCTCCAGATCAAGGACGTAGACCACCAGCCAGATACTCCGTACAGCGTGGATGAAGTCTACAAGGCAGCGGAGTTTATTCTCCATGGCACGTCCGCGATCGGGACTTCAGAGAGGCGTCCGGAGTCATCCAGCAGCACCCTCAGCGCACCGGCCGTAAAGACCGAGGACCTAGCTTCACTGGTGGAGGTCATTACAAAGTCCATCAGCCAGGCTCTGGTTGCTGCGGTTCAGCAGAACGCTGGTTTGGCTCCAGCAACGTCTACCCGACCTGCCGCGACCAATTATAATTGTCTTTATTGCGGAGAAGGAGACCATTCGATCCGAAGGTGTCCCAAGGTCGAGGAAGACATTAGAGCCGGTCGGTGTAAACGAAATGCCGAAGGGCAAGTCGTCCTACCTAGCGGGGCGATGGTCTCGAGAGCGCTACCAGGAGCAACGATGAGGGACCGAATTTTAGAATGGCACCGTCAAAATCCAGGGCAAACCAGCGTACACTTACTGGACACGATGCTATGGGAAGAGGTCCGAGCTCCGGTGGCTTCACACACCACGGATATGTTTCATCTAGACCAGCAGGAGCGTATTGATG